ACAAGCGAGAGAATTCATCGAAGCGTGACACTCGAGCCCGGGTAGTATCAACAAACACGTAAAGCTTGACGCAAACTATACCGGTCTTCGCGCATGGGCGACTAATCTGGGCCCAGCCTGAAACAACAGCGGGCTGTCCGTGCTCGGTCAAGTAGAATTTCACTGACTGTGAACCAGCCCCCCTCCCCCGAACACGTGGCCCACAGTCCAAACGTTAACACCTCCCTCCCCTCACCACCACAACCTATCGCCGCGGGAGTCACGTCACCATAACCCTCGCACCCAATCCCACCCCGTTCGTTGTTGCCTTTGCCCACAAAACCTCTCTAGTGCGACATTCCCAGCCCTCGTATTTCATGTAGTCTGACGACGAACAAGCTATATCTGTTCGAAAATTCACGAGTGCAACTCGATTTTCCGAAGATCTTCTTTTTTTTCATATTACTCCAAAGTTCGCTATTCTTAACTGCTGATGCAATAACACCCGAGACAACCAGTACTTATGTACGACATAGGATGTCTGGACTGAAAAAGATGGTTTAACTTCCACAGCTCTACTGGAAATAGGAAGCTAGAAGTTTAGCTGGTCGCCATCCCTATCGCTTAGCAAAGCATAACTGTTGCCTGAAAAAAAACGGTCTACGTTGCTGCAATTTAAAGCTCATCAATTCTGCCCATTAGTCGGTATATCCGACAGTAAGCGAAGAAAAACATATATTTATAATTAGAAAATGACAGTTATTATTGAGGAAGTAAGCAGCTCCTCCTATCTAATTGTTGGTTTTGAGCAATGAGGTAAGTTGAGGATGGAGGTAGCGCTTATTGTTTATCCAGAATCACGTGCATTTCAGCGCGGCAGAATGCAGAATTAACTCAATAACGGACGTAAGCAAAGCTCACTTGCGGCAATTTTTCGGCAATTTACTAAATGCGCACTTTGAATAATAAGCAAACCCTTTGGGAACCAGCATCCAATAAAAATGAAGTTAAGAGCATAAAAGAGCATCTTAGTATATGCAGAAATTCTAATTTGGAAACATTATTGAGCTTTCCATTGGAGGAGCCTACATTGCACTGAAAATGTGGCTAGCAGGTATATTACCACGGCCTATGGCGGATTAATAACCGGTGTTAATGAAAATAAAGGACTCCGGGTGGACCTACTCAGAGAAAAAGAGGAAACAGCAGCCTATCATACAGACGCCCACTTTCAGCCACTTAATTAGGTGATTATGGTGTGTGTGTTCGACCATCGGTTTCGATGAAGTCCACCAAGTACACCAATAGGTTGGTACAGAAGGTGACGGCCTCAGGGGGTAGCCTTAAAGTGATAGCGGACGGAGTTAGCTCCAACCGCATTCTTCACCTTCTCCCGGAGTCTCGAAGACTAAACGGGGTCC